ACTGAAACAGCTCTTCTCAGGGTGTGTAATGACTTGCTTTTAACGGTAGATTCTGGTGCTTCTGCTGTTTTAATTCTTCTAGATCTCACTGCTGCCTTTGACACAGTGGATCATGAAGTTTTAATATCTCGTTTGGAACAGTCAGTTGGGGTGAAAGGCTCAGCTCTTAAATGGTTTGAGTCCTACTTATGTGATAGGAGTTTTTCTATACATATTGGAGGTTTTTATTTTTCAGAGGCTTCCCTTAAATGTGGGGTACCCCAAGGCTCCATACCGGGCCCCATTTTGTTTTCTATTTATGTGCTCCCACTGGGGTCCATCTTCAAGAAATACAACGTGTCATTTCATTTTTTATGCAGATGACATTCAGATTTATTTACCTTTTAAGATGGTGGACCTCAGCATATGGAGAATCTGCAGAATTGCTTAGACGTTAAAAGTTGGATGGAGCTAAATTTCTTTGTCGAAATAAAAATAAAACAGAGGTCATTGGGTTTGGCAAAACTGGCCTGCTGGTAGGATTTAACAGTGCTGTTGGCTATTTGGATTTTGATTGTWRYTTTATTRRGAATCTTGGAGTTCTTTTAGACAATAACTTTAAATTTGACAAGCAGGTCAGTGCAGTGGTCCGGTCTAGTTTTTATCATTTAAGGCTCATCAGCAAAATCAAGCCTTATCTTCCACATGATACCCTTGACAGGGTTATTCTTGCTTTTATTTTCTCCATACTGGATTATTGCAATTCCCTCTGCAGTGGGATTGACCAGTCTCTGCTCCACCGGCTTGTCGGTTCAGAATTCTGCTGCTTGTTTGTTAACAGGGACCAAACGATCTGAGCACATTACCCCGGTATTGCATTCCCTTGACTGGGTGCCTGTTTCTTTTAGGATTGTTTTTAAAGTTTTACTTTTGGTTTTTAAATGTTTAAATGGTCTGGCACCTGGTTACCTTTCTGAGCTGCTACACAGTTACCATCCAGGTAGAGCTCTGAGATCTTAGGATCAGATGCTTTTGGTGGTTCCCAGGACCCGGCTAGTGAGTAAAGGGGACATAGCTTTCTCAGCTGTGGCTACTTATTGCGTTTAAATCTGTTTTAAAGACCCATCTTTTTGCTTTGGCTTTTAACTCCAGAGATCACATGCAATAGCCCAGTCTCTCTCTCGCTCTCTCGCTCTCTCTCTCTCTCTCTCTCTCTCTCTCTCTCTCTCTCTCTCTCTCTCTCTCTCTCTCTCTCTC